AGAATTTGTTTAAAATTTATAATAGAAACTAGAACATATATTTAGAGGATGTGGGTGTCAGTCTTCTCCTCATTTCGACATCCACACTCAAACAAATTAGAAAATTTCATTTTGTTCAAATATGAGAATGAGATTGCATTAATAATTTTCAAAATATTTTCTAGCAAATCAATTGAAAGTCAATAGTTTTTAGATACAAAGTAGTTTGGAATTTCGAGCACTTCTATAATATATAACTATTTTTCGAAGACCTGATTTCTCAATATTTAATTAATTCAAAAATTGATTGGAACCTTATATTTCTAGGCAGATATCTATACGCACATGAAAACAAAATAGTTGCAGTCAATATTTTGAGTATATATTATCAATATAAAAGTATAGCTTTAACGAAATAATTACATAGTCTGAAAGTGCTCGGAGTTTTCGATCATCTTGTATATTTATGTATCAGAAAATAAATCAACTATAATACAGAGACCCTCATGAACAGATTCCAACGGATCGGATTTTTTCACTGTCATCACAGTTACTCATTTCTTTCTAAAACTTTTTTATCTCTATAGAAATATCTGTTTTACAAAAGTAATTAAAACTTCTGACGGGGCTTTTAATTCTCTATTACCATATATATTTTTCTATCAGCTTTCATTATATACTAAGAATAATGCAGGTACAATATAGACACTGTTCTTGACAAGCCCTAAAAACATACATTCAAGTTTATCATAAACAGAAATATAACTTTTTGAACAAGTAATTATATGCTCTGACAATGTTTCACATTCTCGATCATTTTAAACTTTTTGATATAAGAATGAAAGATATAATGAAAAATTCCATTTTTTTAAAAGATTTTTCAAGGAGTATGTTTGCATAATACTGAAATTATTCTTCAGAATATAAATGAAAGATTAGACAAAAAATATAGAGAATGATAGAGAATCCGAAACCCTATCAGAATGCTTAATTACCTTTATAAAAATATGTTTCTATAAAGATAAAAAGTTATAGAAAAAAAACGAGTAACTGGGATAGCAGTGATAAAATCCGTCTTTATCTCAGTCGATTTATTTTCTGGTACATAAATACACAAGGTGATCGAAAACTCCGAGCACTTGTAGAGTATGTTATTATTTCGTTAAAGATATATATTCGTATTGATGATATACTTAAAATACTGACTGCAACTATTTTTTTTCCAGAGGTATAGGGTGTCCTGTAAGTCCTTAGCCAAAGAAAAGATTGAATATCTTCATTGTGGTTCCACCAAACGAGCACATTTTTTTACCAAGGATGGAGGCATATTTACACTCCAAATATATATGGACAAGAGTATTGGGAATCTTTGTTAAGCATCACCATTGATCTCAAGATGAAAATTTTACTGTTTCACATATGGGAAAAAAAGCAATCTACAGGATAGAACAAAAGACACTTTATTGAAAAGAAAATTGATTATCTCTGTTACGGCTCGAGCAAACCAGCTGATATGTTTATCAAGGATAGAGGCATATTCATACTCCAAATCCATACTGACAAGGTAAGTGAGAACTTTTGTTAAGTACATTGTTTTTCTTCCTATCTGCCAAAAAGTAAAATTTTCTTGTTGAGGTCAATAGTGACACTTAACAAAGATTCGCAATACCGTTGTCCGTATGGATTTGAAATGTAAACATCCCTCTATCCTTGGTAAAAAAATGTGCTCGTTTGGTCGAACCATAATGAAGATATTTAATCTTTTCTTTGGCTAAGGACTTACAGGACACCTTATATATATAGTTTGTGATAGAGTGTCGTAATTTTTATTTTACAACTATTTGTATAACGTTTTTGACTAGATACACATTAATCTATAGTAAGATGCTTACGAACGAAAACAAAGTAATTGGACTTGTACTCAATATGATTACAGTTGGTGAAATTATATTTGGATGTTTAATATCAATGATAGTAATTACCATTATTATTTATCATTTTTATCGTGATCGAATAAAGCGAGAAGACAAACCAATTATTATTCTTTGTATCAATATTTATCTCAGCGCTTTTGGTTACATGATATTACTTTTCACATTCAATATCCGAACAATACTAGGTGATCTGTATCAAAAAGAATTCGATTCACCACCATGCACCTTGTTAGGATACATGTATTCAGCTGTTTTTTGCACTTTTTATATGTCTTTCATCAATCAGGTGAGTATTGGTTATGCATGTTATTTTAAAAATAATAAGAGAACTCCCGATATGTTTAATTGCTCCCTTGTTCAAAGTATGTCGATCATAGTACTTCGAATGAAACATGAATACTCTATCAATATTTGAAGCTTTTCTCTGATTACTATCTATCCAGGTTAAAGAGTCCATATGTGGTCTCTGTTTCGTTTTACATTCTTCCACCTGGGGTAATATTACTTTTAACAGTATTTTTTAAAAAGATGGCATGATTCTTCTCACAGACACCAGAGAACTTAATTTGGAACTTCATCTTGAACTTCTGGACAGATATGGGTCTTCATTAGTTTAGTTTGTTAGGGAAGTTCAGAACTATTGGTTATGCAATTTCTCAAGTAAGAAAATCAAAATCTGTATTTGACTTATTTGAAACAAGATACTTTTATCAAAGCCATAGTAAAGGATGAGAGTCACTAGATGATCTGAAACCTGTACAGTAATCTATTACAAGTGTAAATCGTCTTTGTATATCATTTAAAGTAGAAATTTGAAATTTCGGTTTTTAGTGTTCTCAAGAAATATCTTGCCAGTAATAAACGATAAATGCGAAGTTTTTAAAGAATATTCATAGTTCATTAAAGTTTTCATGAAGCACATAGATTAAGCGTGAAATCTGTTGGATAATTGAGGAAAATTTTCCCATGAGAATATCTGAATGAAACTACTGATTAGATATTTATTTTAAAGAATTGTTGATGTTCGTTTGATTTTATTCTTAGGCTTTCTTTCGTCTTTGTCGCATTGTATATTCAAATAATAGATGGTTGCAATTATCATGGTTATATATCATTATACCTCTTATTGAGCTGATTCTAACTTTTACTCTCATGTGTCCTATTTATCTTTGGCATGATATTATCTATCTACCCAATGAACATTTTTGTTATATACCACTCTCTAATATTCGAGGTTTTCTTTGGATTTTTCTTAATATTTATGGTATTCCCGTCATATCGTTGTCGTTGATATATCTTCGTATCACAATATTCATTCGAAAAAATTCAAAAAATCAAACAACAGCCATTAAACGACGACAAGCTCGAGATTTGAATGCTCTTCGACGTATTATTATGATCGTTGGGATTTTGTTTGTTCTAGGACTACCGACTATGTCTCTTATACTGATGATGTTTATCACAGGGAAAGAACACCCACTAAGTTTTCGGGTTATGAGCATTTCGATTGCAACATCAATGGCAGGATTGAGTGTAGCATTAGTATTTTCTGTTCTTCAGTTAAAAAGTATTGTTTGGAAATTATTGAGACCAAATCAAGTATTGCCTATCAATCACATTACTACAGTTTCAGCTGCAATGACAGCGAATGTTACTACTTTGCCAAATAAGCGTTCATAATAATTATAATATTATTGTTTTAATTTTTCCTACCTAATTTATAAATTCCAATCATCAAATTAAAACTATTTTACCATTCAATATGCAACAATTATCTTGAAAATGTATTTTATTCCTTAAAACACAAATGGCAAAAACCTATAAGCTTATTTATTTATTTATTTTGCTTGAAACTTCACATTACTCAAAGACAATAAGGATTTCTGAAAATGATGTGATATTTAAAAACTCTGTTTTGATGTTCGTGTTTTTAGTTTATTTTTGTCAACGAAGGCTCTTCTACACGTAGAAAAAAATTTTGAAAAATCTTTATTTATATGCTTATTTGTTGTAAACCGTTTGTAAAATGTAAACTTATTGAAAAATAAATACAAGTAATGCGATATAAGCGTTGTTAACCCTCTATTGAAAGGATATGATCATGTTTAAAATATAGTAAACTATCATATAATATGCAATGTGTAAACCCAATAACGCCGTTTTTGATGGTACTGTTTAATAAAAGCAACAGAAATATATCAATAATTACAGTGCTCACCAATAGAAGTTGCCGTTTGTCTGTTATTTTCCTTTTTATTAATACATTTCATTTGTTTAATGAATTTTTAAAAGATAATAAGTAGATGAAGACTTAAATGTTTTCTGTAAGGAGTATAGCAAAGATCTCGTTAGAATTTTGGAAGTTTATATCGAGCTCTATTGTAATCTAAAGATCTATGAGAAGTAGTTTTTTTGACTGTACGAGTTTGAAGCATAAACATAGAAAATTGTTCAAAAAGAGGCTGTTCCTAACAACGACGCAGCGACGGAGTTATCGTCGACTGATAACTTCTTCACAAGTATTGATGTGGCTGTTTTTGAGAGCGGGTGTGAGTCTTAATGAGTGAACAGAAGATCTTCATTCACACCACCCTAAAATTTCAACTAGCTAGGAAAAGAAAGAAAAACTGAGGAAAGAGACCGTCAACAATTTATTAAGTCTTATTATGATAGATAGTTCGAGCTGATTTTCAAGCAATCACAAGACGTTTGAAATGTCTCTAACCTGTATCTTTCTAAATGTTTGCTTAATTTTCGAACAACTTCTTAGGATGGATACGGAGATTCCGATAACTTAGACCGACTTCTGTGCAATGATTGGATTAATTGACAATATTAGTTCACATATTATCTTGTACCCTTTCCAATTGATAACCTTCGAGAAGGATTAATTTAATAGACTTTAATCTTCCCTTGTCTAAATATTGACAATAAATAGTCTCTATGTTATTGTATTATTATTCGGATTAAAATAAAACGATCCCAAATCTTTGTTTGTTGCCATCATTAACTCGTAAGTACAAGGTTGTTCATCATGTAAGTGATGATACAAAACTGTATTATCTTTTAATAAAGAGTATCCAGTACATGGCATACTTATTATCGTTTTTTATTCTTCTTTACTTTTTTATTCCTAATGGGAAAGGTTTAAATTGTCCGAATCGACAATGGATAGAAGAGTCTTTGAATAAATCTTTTATTCCGGGTGCTGCTGTTGTTGTCGTCAATGCTACTCATGTAATCTATGAAGAAGCATTCGGTTATCACTCTCTTATACCATCACATTTCATCGATGTGGACAAATCCATCTTTACTCTAGCTTCAATTTCGAAGACTCTTATTGCTGTTGCTGTCATGCAACTTGTTGAGCAAAAACGTGTTGATCTTGATATGGACATAAATCAGTACTTACCGGAATCTGGTTATCGTATTTTTCATCCACAATATCCTTCTCATTCGATTACTTTACGTCAATTACTCTCACACTCAGCATCGATTGCTGTCAATGAAAATACACAAATAAGTTTATATAAAACGGGCGATACTGCTTTCGAACAGTCGACTTTAACTGACACATTGTTTACTCTTCTGAATTCAAATACGTCGAACTGGCTACCAGAAGCACCAGGCAGCGTATCATTTTACTCGAATGAGGGTTCATCTCTTGCTGCATTAGTTGTTGAAAAAGTAACAAACATTTCTTTTGATCAATATGTCAAAGATCGTATTTTGAAACCTCTCAATATTGATGTCAGTCAAGTAGGTGTTCGTCTAGCTGATTTTCAAAATCGAGAAGAGCTCGTTAAACATTATGCGTATGCACCCAATACAAGTAATCTAAATGATTGGCTTCAAATAATGCCACAATTGAATATTATACCACTTCTAGTAAATGAAAGTTGTAATACTGTTATTTGAATTGATTTTTATTCTTCTTTTATTACCAGGATAGTTTTCCAACTTGGCTATACATTCCATTCTTTGGCTTTAGTGCCTATCCTGCTGGTCTCTTTCGTATGTCAGCTAGTTCTTTATCCAAGTTTCTTCGCATGTTTATCAATAAAGGATTCCCCATTCTAAGTGCTCGATCAATTTTAGAAATCAAAACAATAGTCGGTGCTGGCTTAATACCTGATTACATTCAAAATACGAGCAATGATGCTGAGGGCATACCATCACTTTTTTTCGGACTTAGCTGGTACTGGGCAACTTTGAGTGATGGACGAAGATACATTGGTCATAGTGGTTCACTTCCGGGTTCAAGACATTTGATGTTGGTCAACGAAAAGAGTACTCTTGGTGTGATTGTTCTATCAAATGGAGATTCAAACGGGCCAGGAAATCGTACATTCGAAGTGTATAAAACACTGGAAAATATCCATCTAAGATTGTTTGAGTGTTTTGAGACTCTTATTTAGATGCTGTTACCATCTCATCGAATGATAGGTAACTTTGCATCTACGACAACTATATTGACTCTTTGTAGCAACTTAATTTTATTAACATTCATATTTTTGTATAGAGCTTATTTTAAAAGTGAATATACTATCTGTCTACAAAACCCATAACCAACAAACTCTTTTCGTCAACTTGCAGAAAAAAAATGAGACAGCATTGATTCAGATCTACAAATTGAAAACATTTTAGACAGAGTATTGCTCATCTGCTATTAATTTTTCTAAATAAGTTTGTACTCTTTCTTTTGCCGACAGAATTGACTTCACTTGATAGAATCTTATTCTTTTCATACCATGTTCGTTGTATGGTTCAGTCGAGAAAAATTATTGAAACGAGAAAAGTAATGAAAATCACGCGCAACTTACTATATAGTCTGTATTTTTCTTCCTAAGCGTTTTTCCTGGATCATCAGACACCATAAGAAAAAATTTTGTCGAAGGTTTTTGATAATACGTATTCTTTGCAGTTGACTGTGTGATGAGCTTGAATTCCTTCTTTATTGAA